TCAGCCTAGGGACGATAAAACGAAGAATGGTACGTAATTGCTTAATTTACTTTACTTTTCTTAGTATATGTATTCTGTTTATTAACTAAAATTTATGAGTTTTCAGGAAAAAAAAGTTGGGGACGTCCGATGAACCAAGATGAGCTCTTCAAGGAGACTCATATTGTGAAGAAGAAGAAAGAGACGAACCAAGAAAGGTGGGTCGAGGGCCGAGCCTCGACTGTACATGTAAGTTTTCACTTTTCATTAAGAATTTTGATTTACTTTTATATAAATTTGGAAATAGTAATTCACATATTATTTTTCTTATAGGGTCGCTTCACAGCTGAAGTGGAGCAATTCATACGCAGTCAGCCACCTAATGAGTCCGGCGCGCCAATCCAACTATCGGACGAGGATGCTGAGAGAATGTGGACGCAGGCTGCTGGCGGTCCAAAAGGGGGGAAGGTATACGGGCTTCCTAATAAGAAATTCCATCGCTATAAGTGTGGAATGCAAGGAATATGGACTTCCTCCCAAGCCGAGCAACTTGATGGGGAGAGCCTCTCCTCTATGTGGGAGACTGTGGCAAAGCTCACATCCGAGCTAGAAGCCGCCAAGGAGAGAGAAAGGCTTAGAGATATGCAGTACTCTGGCATGCAAGCTCAGTGCAAGGGCATGCAAGAGCAGATCAAAACTCTCCTAGCTTCTGGCAATTTTCCAATTCCCCGGTCTCGTGAGTCATTGCTAGAGGCTCGCCTTCCCCGTGCTTATTCCCCCCGTCCTCCCCGTGGTCATTCTTCCCATCATCGACAAATAGCCCATTCTAGATACCGTCATGGTGAAGAAAGTTCATCAGACGGTGATGATAATGATGTAGAGAACAATCTTTGAACTTATAAGTTTATGATAGACAAATACAATTGGTTTTCGAATGGTTCTGTAATAACATTTAACTTATTAGTTTGCTAATTAGCTTAAAGTATAAATTTCTATTGAACTTTATACTTTGTTCGTTATAATTGTTGTTGTTGTTGTTGCTGTTGTTGGCATATTTGCCTATTTAGGAATTTTGGTAAGCTGGCAGGTGGAGGCAGTTCCTGCCAGCAATATACCAAGAAAAGCGACCAACTTTGGTCGCTATTTGGTCGCATTTCTATTAAAAAAAAACAATTTTCTGTGAAATAGCGACCAAGGTTGGTCGCTATTTAACCCAGATTTCCCAAGTAGCGACCAAGATTGGTCGCTATTTACCAGAAAAATAACAATTTCTGGAAATATGGCAATCAGGGTTGGTCGCTTATTAATAAATAAAAAAATTAATTCATGTATTTAGCGACCAACTTTGGTCGCTTTTTTAAAAAAATAATTAAAAAATTTATAGTATAGCGACCAATATTGGTCGCCATTTTCCAGATTTTAAAATATAATATTTCATATACAGACCAAAGTTGGTCGCTACTTTATAATTAATAATAAATAAAGAAACGAATTACACAAATGAGACCAACTTTGGTCGCAAAATTTATAATATTAAAATAATATAGCGACCAAAGTTGGTCGCGGTGTCTTTACCGGAATATTTGGTCCTTTGACTTGAGAGACCAAAGTTGGTCGCTAATTAGCGACCAATTTTGGTCCCTAAGGTAAAGGGACCAGCTTAATATCGACCAGGCACGTTTGGTCGCTTTTTGTGGTCGTTTTTTCCCGGATTTCTAGTAGTGTTGTTTAGGGCAGGTAATATACAAAATTAGGATAATTTTAGTAAATAAGTTTCAAATGTTGTATAGGAAGAAAAAAATCCCAATATTTTAATGTGACTCATTTGAATTCATTAGCTTATTTAGAGAATTATTAAAAATGCACTCGTTGCTCTCGCATAGTATTTTTTTTTCCCGACATGGACCACGTAGTTCGTTGTTTGATACAACTCACTATTGAGAATATATCATATAGTACTACAGCTACTCAGCTAGTATTAGATTTTCAAGATCAAAATCTTTAGAAAGCCAGATTATTTATATTTTTTCACTTACTAATTAGTGAGTTAATTAATGGATCTGCACCGTGGGCGCCGATTATTAAGCCAGTACTGGCTCCTCCATGTCCAAAAAGATTCTTCTGATCGTACCAAGGCGTCTACAACTTGCTTTTCTTGGATAATACAATATATTTAAGTTGTGCTAATCCATACACTAAATGATGCTAATGGGAAATAAACTAGAAATGCTATTCGACGAAATATAAGAGTTTAACTGTTTAATGTTTAGGATGATATTCGAGAGAACTATAAAGTAGGTCAAAATATCATCATATAAAATAAATTAAAAGGTATCAGAAAGCTTTCGTAATTGTTAAAAAAAGAAGTTAGAAACATAATCACCAAATGTTTAACAGCAACCCTACCAATAATTAACTACTATGGTATTACAACGTGGCTAGATTATAATTAAATCTAAAAGACATTGAGCTGTGAGCAGGTTGAATATACGTTAGCTAGAACATGTTGAAGGTGACAACAACCAATTATGTGGGATCTTATACTTAATTAAATGCACACTAAGTGTTGTATCCGTGTTCAATTAATGAGCTGGAAAGTCTATGGAATAGCGAACACAAGATATGAGGGTAGGGGTGTTCAAAGGTAAATAATATATTATTGAGGGGGTTAAGTACAATATTCAGAAGATCCTGAATTTTTTTCTCTAATCTTTTGGTAAAGATAAATTTTTTGAAAGTCTTAGGATGGGTTAAAGAGGAGAGACATTGTCTCTGCCACTTGCTAGTTCAGCCGATTTGGTTTTATAGTCCATTGGTGTTTTTTTTTTTTTTTTGTTCAAAGAGTGTTATTTTAGTTATATGATGCTTTATTAGAGAAAATCAGTAAAAAAATAATACAAGAAATTTATAAAAATAACACAAGAGATCTATGTAGGAGAACTTTCATTTATTCAAATTGTAAATGAGCATATATAGGAGATCATTTTTTCTATCAGCACCCCCCTCGAATAGACCCTTGGTTTACAATCTTTGTCTTAAAGATATCGTTACATCTGGCTCCATTTGTGTAAATTTTTATAAATGTAATTTAATATTTTTATTCAATAACTAAATTATTATAACTAATCAAAATTTAACTTTTAATGAGATGTTTTTTCCCTATGAACCAGAATTATGATCAGTAACTTAATATTTTGTTTCAATAGAATTTTAGAACTTCCTTATTGTGCCATCCAAAGAATAAAGAGAAATAAGGAAAAGTAATTAAGTACTAGAAAACATATACTTCTCATTACTTGTTAAATTTGTACAAGAAGCATACATCTCCTGTCCAACAATTTCAAGCTGAAGGACTAGGCAAGACACTAGGACTAGGCAAACAACTAGGTCTAGGAAAATTAAATTCACTATTAAGATTAAGACTACTCAAATCTTTCCCCTTACTATTGTACAATTTTTTGATATTAGTCCTTTGTTCAGTCAATAACTTAACAAGGCTTCTCTTTGCATTTGGTCTAAATGATTCATTTGATCCCAAATACCCATCCACCAAATGCAAATATGCTTCCAAATCATGACAACATGCGACATCTGCATCTGGTTTTAAAAACGGAGACTTCGTTGTGTCAACTCTTAATTCAGTACCAACATGTGAATATGCCCATGGCATACTATTGTCAAGCAAATTTAACACCCCCGCAGCGCCTTTTTCCCTTAGTTTTTTGTCAAGCGCTTCGCTCACAAACATTCCTGGAACTTTAGTAATCACATCTTGTTTGTTCACGATACGTAAGACCTTAACATTTTTCGATTCGAGTCGATTGGCAAAGCCTTTGTTGCCTACCCTAGGACCTCCAAATGTAAAAACAGCAACTGGTGGTGAATCTGGTGTACATGTACTAACATCATCTGCTACTAATAAAGCTAAAGCAGCACCAAGACTATGTCCTGTTACTGTTATACTTAGACTCTCACCTTTGTACATTTCAATGAGTCTTTTCACTTCATTCACCACAGATTCAGCTAAGCTTGGAATTTTATTTCCACCTGTTTGGTATAAGCTCAAAAACCCACATTCTACTTTTGGTTGTCCTTCAACTGAATCATTTTTTCCTGGCATTTGAACTAGCACGTCGCGAAAATTTTCGCCCCATTCTAGACACGTGGCAGTACCACGTAACGCGATGACAATATCCCTCCTTCCCATCCGTTGGATCTCGGTTTTGTCGTCGCACACAGCGACGTACCCGATCCAACTGGACCTTTGGGTCATCCACCCAAGATCCGGTGCCACGTCATCCACCCATTTAGGCAGGCCAACGGATGACGTGGCATAAAGGCTCTTAGTCACCTTGTAAGACCTATCAGGTAACGACACGTTCCTCGCCACGTCAGCATTTTCTTTTTCTGACGTGGCGGGGTTGGAATGAAAACAATGGTAAGCTGCTTGAATAAACTCACCATATCGGACTAACTCTCGCCGGAGATTCTCATCCAATGGATCAATAAGTCCTAACCAATCTTTGCACCCGTGGTACTCTCTCCACCTAGTCCCAAGATTATTTCTAGGAGAATATTCCATTGATTTTGATGATAACATCCTGTGTAATTTAACCAAATGCCTAGGAGAATATTCTTCAGCTGCTTTCATTTCTGGCCAAATTCTTGCCAAATTTAGCCCTTCCAACATATTCCTTCCCCTGTTTTCCCCTGTTTTCCTCTGTTTTATTTCTTGAATAATTGGCTCTGCTGAATCCATTGGATGTGGCTGAGATTGCTTTTGTAAAAGCATTTCAAGATTTGAAAGATGTTTTTTTGTCATCTCTGTTGTAGAAGTTGGTGGTGTTGCTACTGTTTTTAAACATTGTACATTTACAGCAGTAGCTCTAGGTATAGGGTTTAATGGAGATGAACCATTACAGTACTTGAAACTGGATCGACGTGCCTGAAAAAAATGAACATTAGTTGCCACTGCCACCTGCATGATTTTCTTAGAGAGAGAGAGAGGAGGAAAGTTGTGTTATTTAGAGAGAGAAAAAGTCAATGTGTTAAAATCAGCTGAATTATGAGAAGAAGAAAGGGTTTGCTGAGGTATATATAGAAGATAATATTTCAAGAAAAGGGGTTTAAGGGGTATTGTTTTTGTTGTATTTACGGAAAAACCATAAGAGAATGATGGATGTGAGGGTTGAATGAGAGGGTAATTGTGTAAAGAAGTTAAATAATTGACTTCTATTATTAACTGCTTGAATTTAATGTCTTAAAAGTCTGCTTACAACGTTACACGGTTACGTAAGATTAGACTAAAATACCCTTCAGGCTTTACTATGGTATTATGACATTTAAATGTCAACTATGCCCTTCGTGATTGACTAGAGACTGCAATTTATTATCGACTTTTCTTTTTCATAGTTCATGTTCACACCTTTTGTTTTCGATGTTGGAATATGTTATTTGACAAAATACTAGGTTGAATATTTTGTTTTTTGTCCATAAATTGATTTGTCCGTTTTTTTTTATTAAATTCTAAATATGGTTCCTTGAAAAGAAACACATCACATCAAAGTAAATGCCTCCCGTAAGTAAGTCCAAACTGTCCATTGTGCGACCAAGAGTTGGAAAGTCACAAGCACCTTTTCTTTGCTTGTTCATTCTCAGCAGACATTTGGAGAAGGTTACTAATATGGCTGGGGATTACACGAAGACCAGGAAGTTGGGATGAGGAGCTCAAATGGTCAATAGATCATGTTAAAGGCAAATGATCCAAAACTATGATATAGGATAAGCATAACTGGAGCAGTGTACCACTTATGGCTGGAAATGAATCGACGAGTTTTTCAACAGGAGAAAAGATGTAGCGAAGATATTGCTAGACAATTAGTACTAGAAATTCATTGTATAGGCTATATACAGAGTAGTTTGAGGAAAATTTTGCAAACCCTCAATCTTTATCCTTAGAAGGTGTCAGAGAGGAAGAGATTGTACTAAGTTTGAGGCCGTTTGTCCAAACTTAGTGTTTGCTATACTTGTAAATATTTACGTGGTAATGAAAATTTAATTACCAAAAAAAATGCCTCCCAAACAATTTTTATTCTCTCACTATCCCTTGATTACAACATAGTAATTTTTTTTTGTTAAAACCGACTATTTGTTATTGGTGTTAGTGCATTTTAATATCAAAATTATAATGTTCAAGTGCATTATTTCTTGTGAGATAGTGGTTATAAATTAACAAGAAAGTGGTCATTACTTTGGTACGTTGTAACTCATGAAATCGTTAATGCCCCACTAATTAACCACTAAAGATTAAATTTTGTAACCACCAACTATGTTCTACAATTTTATTATCCCACTACTTTGATATGTATTCTATGAAAGAAAATTTACACCTATAAATAGTGGTATTTCTTCCTTGTGTTGAGATGGGGAAAAAAATATTATAACGTGTATGAAAAAAGTAAAAATTGGTGTAGTGAAAAAGTGAGTTAAGAGAAGGAGAAAATTCAGGTCTCCAACTTATTCTCTACAAAAGAGAATATTATTTTGTTGAAGGAAGGTGTTTCATCTTGGTGGAGCTTTAGATTTAACAACTTGTCCAGGGTTTGTTCGAGTCATACGACTTTGTCGAGCTGTTGTATCCTCGAGGGGACAAGTCAAAAGTATTACTGCTGGACCAGTGAAGCTGCTACAGCAGTGGACTTGAATCTCCTTAAAGAGAGCAAGATATCAACGCCTCAGTCTAAAGAATATTTATTTATTTTTCTACATCTTATTTTTCAACTGTAATTACTTGTAATTTCACCAACATTTGTTATTGGGGGAACTACAATAATTATAAGTTGGGTATTTACTTTAATTTTTTTTAAAAATTTAGAGTTTGTAACTAGGAATTACGGAGAGAAAAAAATACTACTAGTAGCTCCTGCATTATTCCACTTTAAATTGATATTCCTCATCTTTGTTATGCCGTTCCACTTTTCTTTGAAGCTTCATCAAACCTAAGAGGAAAAACAGAATAATTCAAAGCTATATTTCATTTTCTCTAACAAATTAAAAAGGAAGATATTGTCTTTGTATATTTCTTTTTTTTTTTTTTGTGGCGAAAACCATATATGTTGTCATGGTTTCAACTTTCAAGTTTAATCTGCATGTCAAAGTCATAGCTCAGGAGGATAAGGGCATTGTAATGGTCAGAGGGAAACAAATCCCTTTTGCTGGAGTTGATGAAGTAAAAATGTTTGAATCTTGACAAATCTATACAAGTTAGGAATAGAATTTCAAAATTATTCAAGTCAAGTATTTTGTACGTGGCTGCAAATTAGGCATGCAATAAAGTGCATGGTTTCCTTTTACAAGTTAAAGGTTGATCACCCTCTTTTTTCCATTCATTAAGCTTTTTAACTCTTAAATTTCTAATGTAATGCTGCTTCCAATGAGTTTCTGAAAAAAGAAGATGGTCGTATATCTTGAATGTCATATATATATATATATATATATATATATATATATATATATATATATATATATATATATATATATATATATATATAT